AAACTAGTTCATTGAGACAGATGCCCGTCTCCCGTGTGCAGATAGAACTGGTCCAAGGGCTTTCAAGTTTGTGGTCTTCAGAGTCAGCCCACCATGCCTTTCTTTGGTGATGCCTTTGGGTGAAATTAGAACTGCCAACCTTTCAGTTAGTGGGAGATACTGAAATCGTGGTCCTGTAACTAAGCACATGTACATATAGTCACATTCATTGCCGGAGCCCACCGGCAAAGCAATGGGGGACTCAATTAAGGGGGTGAGGGCTGAGAAATGACAGACACAAAAAAGCTGGGGTCAGGAGGACTGCAATTCAGGACTGCAGCCCCAAGTTTATTTTCCAGCAAGCTTTTATACACTGTGAAGCGGGAATGTACTATTGCTCAAAATAGCGCCCCCATCCTTGTTCTTGTTTGTCAGGCAAATATTTTTCCCAAGGCTAAGCACCTGATGTTTTCAATAACATTAAAGCACAAAAGTCAATCTGACCGTGAGAGAGACAATCTGCACGTCCAGGTCCATGAGAGAGCTGTGTCTGCACGTCCACATTTGAACGAACAGACCACTGCTTTCAGAGCAGCTCCCAACAATTCATGACATTTTAGAGTTGATAAGGAGTTAAATAATGTTGTGGTGAGTTATGTATTGGGTTGCCAATTACAAGCTCAGCAGTACAAAACCATTAGCTTCCCTTCTCATGGAAGGGAAAGATGAGATTTTCCACTTCCATGAATATTTTAAGTCTTGGAAACCCACAGGGGCAGTTCTACTCAGTCCTATAGGGTGTAGTCTGAATCAACTCAACGACAGTGGTTTGAGGTTTTCATTAGTGGTTTAGGGATCATCTTACAGGTACTCTATATAAAGAGGACAGGGCATGCACTACTATCCCTCTTTTGAATCTAAAAATAATAAGGCCCCGAGGAACTGAGTCATTTGCTCCAAAGCAGGAGAGCTCTAGCTCATCTTTCCTGCATACTGAATTCTCAGAGAAGCTGGATTCTCTGAAGAAGAGTGTGGCATCTGGATTTGGAGGAAGGCTTCTTAATACACTGTGTTATGCAGATGACACAGCCTTGCTTGCTGACAGGGAGGCGGAATTGAAGCACTTGCTGATGAAGATCAAGGATTGCAGCCTTCAGTATGGATAAAAACTCAATGTAAGGAAAATCACAATCCTCACAACTGGACCAATAAGTACCATCATGATAAATGGAGAAAAGATACAAATTGTCACATATTTGTCTTACTTGGATCCACGATCAATTCTCATGGAAGCAGCAGTCAAGAGGTCCAAAGACTTTAGGTACATCTGCTGCACAAGGACTCCTTAAAGTCCTGAAGAGCAAGGATGTTACTTTGAGGACTAAGGTGCCCCTGACCCAATCGATGGCATACTCCATTGCAGCATATGCACGTGAAGTTGGACATTGAATAAGAAAGACCGTAGAATCCATGCACTTGAATTGCGGCACTGAAGAAGAATACTGAAAGTATCATGGACTGCTAAAAGTACAAAGCGATCTGTTTTGGAAAAAGACCAGAGTGCTGTTTAGCGGCAAGGATGACAAGACTTTGTCTTACACACGTTGCATATACAGCGAGGTGAGACCAGTCCCTGGAGAAGGAAATCATGTTTGATAAAGTGGAAGGGCAGCAAGAGGAAGGTCCTTTATGAGATGAATTGACACAGTGGTGGCATCAAGGGGTGTTAAGACAAGGGACAATTGTGAGGACGGCGCAGGACTGTACAGGTTTTCGTTCTGTTGTGCATAGGGTCAATATGGGTTCGAGCTGACTCAATGGCACGTAGCAATAACAACGACAACAACAACAACAACAACATATGCTCAACTTGGTTTGGTTGGATTAAGTCTAAATCTAGGGGGTCCAGGCTAGCTTTGTTCTGGTTTTCTGCTACTTTATTCTCAATAGAGGCAGAAAAACTCTATCTGGTTGTTTAAATGCTAAGCCTGTCATGTTGCCCTTCACCATTTCCCTCCACAGATCAAATGGATTAAGTCCAAGTCCGGTTCTGGTTTATTTCTTACCAGGGAAAACATGTACATTGGCAATTGTGAAAATAAAGCAGTTATGCTGCTCTTAGACTAGGTTTTAGGTTTGGACTCTGCTTGGTGACTGAAGTCATGGGTACTGGGGTCAGAGCATATTAAGGCATTCTGATATTGATAAGTGTATGCATGAATGGCAGTAACAATAATAGTAATCTACATTTTTCAGTGTCTGAAATTTGTCCAGGATTTGACATATGCTCTTTCATTTAGGATACATTTTTGTTATTGTAAGTGTAAGAGATGAATCAATAATTTCGGAAAGAAGTTGTAGAAAGGTTTTAAAATAAAGCCATGGAGGCTAAAAGCAAGGCCCAGCTGCGTGGAAAACTGGAACGCTTGAGAGAACCAGGGCTGAGGACCTCTTCTGGCCGTGATAGACATGGCCACCCTGTGTCTACTCAGACCCCCCAAAGATAAGGATCTTGGGCCGCATTCAGGTCACCTGAACCAACTGAAATAGGAACACACACACACACACACACACACACACACGAGGGCTTTGGGATCTGACAAGGGTTGGCTTTGCTGCTTCCTTGTTTTTTACCACTTCATGCCAGGAAAATCTTTGCTGGGTCTCCTAATCTTTTCGGTGTCCCTCCGTGGTACAAATGGTTTCCCTTCCTCTACCAACCCAAATGGGGGTGGCTGAAACCCACCAAACACCACCATGGAAGAAAGGCCTGGCAATCCTCTTTCACAAAGATTATAGCTGAGAAGAGCCTATGGAGCTCAGCTCTACTCCGTAACACCGAGTGTCACCGTGAATTTTAATGGACTCAATGGTAATCCCCTGTTTGCTTGTTTTTAATTATTGTTGCTCTTATTCTTAATGTCTTAGACAGGAGCTCTGGTGTCCCAATGGTTAAGAACTCAACTGTTTAACTGAAAGGTTGGGGGTTTAATCCGGAGCAGCTACATGGAAGAAAAGGCCTGGCAATCTACTCCAGTAAGAATAAAGGAAACCAGGTCCATTGCCCTTGGAGTTCTGACTCATCGCAAGGGTGCACAGTAGAACTGACTTATAGGGCTGTCAAGGCTATAACTCTAAGTAAAAGGGAATTGCCAAGTGTTTCTTCTGCAGATCGCTGGTGGGTTAGAACTCCTGACTTTTCTGTTAGCTGCTGTGTTCAGCCCTGCGTCACTAGATGTCCTATAAAGTTTACAGCCTAGCAAGCCCCATGGAACAGCCTTACTGTATCATTTAGGGTCTCTGTGATTTGAAATCGACTTGACAGGACATGATAGCAACCACTTAGACCCTCAGTATCTTTCTCAGCAAGATTTTATTTAAAAAATGAAGGTTATAATGAGTAGTTTTAGCAGAGTCCAGGATTATCAATAAACTGATTTGCAGGAAGACAGAGAGAGGAGAGGGAAATAAGAAGGAGGAGTGATTTGTTGCATTTATATTATATGAATACTATTATTCTTCGAGATCTGGCTTAGGGGCCTCTTTTGTTGTTGTTGTTGGTAGGCGCTGTTGAGTTAGCTCTGACTCACAGTGTTCCTGTGTACAACAGGAAGGAACGCTCCACCGTCCCCACAGTTGTTATGTTTGAGCCCATTGTTGTAGCCCCTGTATCGACCCATCTCATTGAGAGTCTTCTTCTGTTTCTCTGGTCTTCTACTTTACCAAGCATGATGGCAATTCTTCTACAGTAGCTTCATGAGCCCCTTTTCCCCGAGACAGTGCTAAATTAAAAAAAACATGCCATGGATGTTCTCATTAGGCCATTGGCATTTCTCGTCCATCACTGCAAAGGGATTTAAAATAACCTCTTTAAAGGGCACATTAATATCACTCTAAAATGTTAACTCGCCATGCTTCTGATGTTAATGCCAATTTGTAGAATTAGTGGCATGTAGAATAAACTACACCCATGGGACAAATGGGGAAGCTGAGACCCTGCTTGCAAAATACAGGGCCTGATTCTCCCGAGAACATAGGAAGTGAAGCCAACTAGCAGGGCCCTCCAACTTAACACATTCGGTGGCATTTGTAGAGAGGTGGGGGAAAATAGGCTCCCGGGTTAATTTCACACTTCCTCTATACATTTCAAAAACCAAGGTGTGACTCCACAGCTGGATTTTAAAAAGACCTTCAGGAGGCTGAAAACTTTCAGGTATTCTGCAAACTCAACACTCTCTGGCTTAAAAGCCTTTTCTGTTTCCTGGTATCTCTTTGCGATGGGGAATCCCAAACTGTTCTGGTAAAGCAAAGGCTTTATGCTTCTTAAATGACATTTCCTGAGCTTTATGGCTCTGAGCTCCGGGTTTACAGGAGTTTCTGCATGCAGGCATGTGGGGGAGATAGCTGCACATCCCAAAGCTCCAGGAACGTTGCTATAGAAAAAGGGCATCGGCAGATTGCCTCTTGTGAATTCACAGCCCTCTGGAATGAGCTGTGATTCTAGCATTTGCATAGAAGGGACCCAAAGACCAGAGGGTTATCTTGTCCATGGACCATGTATCTGCTCTGAAACCTCGGCAGCTCTTGGAAGAGAGCGAGGAAATCCCTCAGTGCGCAGCTGCTCTCCCCCAGGCCACTGCCTCCTTGCCACAGATCGCCCAAGGTTTGTTTTCCTTGGCTCCCTCATTAATGAGTTCCACAGGACAATGCTAAGTCTAGTTATGTCCTCTTAATTGGTTTAGTTACAACAAGATAATTCCTTTTTTCTTCTCTGGGAGGCCTTTCTGTCAGAGACATTTTAGCTAGAAGATGCTAATTACCAATGAGGACAAAGTGACACCTGAAGAGTTCATTTTCCATCTTGGTCCTTGATTTCTCCTTTGAACTCCCTCTCCCCGGCCCTCTTTCCCACTTCATCACTCCCCCCCCCATCATAAAAGAGAGCTCTTCTCTGTCCAGGCGGCACAACTTTCTTTCTCACTTGCCAGGGGAGTTCTTCTCTTTGCAGCTGCCTCCCAGGCATGGATAACCTGCAGGAGACCTTCCTCAGCCTCGAAGATGGCTTGGGTTCCTCAGACAGCCCTGACCTTCTGGTCCCCTGGGACTGGAAACACAGGGCCGGGCCATTGGAGCTGAACCAGCCTTCCCCTTCTCAGAGTCTTTCTCCAGCTCCATCCCTGGAATCCTATTCTTCCTCGCCCTGTCCAGCTTCGGCTGGGCTGCCCTGTGGGCACGGTGGTGTCGGTGACCAGGGTGTCGATGCCTGCAGTGGCCTTGGGACCAGTGGCCTGGTCGAGGTGGACTACAACATGTTGGATTTCCAGCCCAGCTATCTGCAAGGTGTTGGCCTCCCCAAGGTGCAGAGGGGCACCAAAGTCAGGATGTCTGTCCAGCGGAGAAGGAAGGCCAGTGAGAGGGAGAAGCTCAGGATGAGGACCCTGGCAGATGCTCTGCACACCCTCCGGAATTACCTGCCACCTGTCTACAGCCAAAGAGGCCAGCCGCTCACCAAGATCCAGACACTGAAGTACACCATCAAGTACATCGGGGAACTCACCGACCTTCTCAACAGTGTCAAGAGAGCCTAAGAACAAGCGTGCTTTGGCTCTGCCCCAGGAATTCAGCCAGATCAAGCCCACCGGGCAGGAGCAGAGGAACTTTAGAGACTCGAAGTATCTCATGGGACAGCGTCAAAGGGTTACTTTTTTGTGTAGTAAGTGTTGTAATCTTGCCATCTGAAACAGCCTAAGGAATTCCCTTTGGACTCGCTGGAACACCAGAACACTTCACTGGCAGATAAGCAGATACTTTTGCGCCCAGCTTCCCTACTGTTTCTCAGGGGCCCATCCTTTGCGAAGGAGACTGATTACTTTGCCTTTCTCTGTCTGTTCAAGGTATTTTAAAGGGTGGGTGCTTTAAAATGCATTAAAAAAAAAGAATAGACAATAGCTATCGTTAATTAATATGCTCTTGTCATTTTGATGTTTGGAGTTTCCTCTCCATTGCGACCGCTGCATTTTGTACAGGCTCCAGTGTGACAGAGGGTTCTTGTTTCGAAAGGTGTGTGCTGATTACAGGGCTATGTTGTGCATGTTGTGAGCTACTCAGTCGATTCTGAATTGAATCATCCCTGTGCGTTAGAATCTTATGTGTGTGTGTGTGTGTGTGTGTGTGTGTGTGTGTACTGAAATTGTGCCTGTACTATTTAAGGGACCCCAAATCACTGTCAATAGGAAGTCATAGACAGACATGCTAAACTGAGAGAGTGGGAGCCCTAAAGACCAAAAGCCTCCTCCTGAGAGCAAGGCAAGGGAAAGAGGGCTGCATGCCCAGAGTGCTGGTCAGGGGCTGAGGCTGAAGGCAGGGGGAGGGACGGGATGGGGAGTGGGTGGGGGAGGGGGGCTGTACTGCAGCACAGGGTAGGCCTGGGGTAGGGCTGGGAGGACAGGAGTTCCCCACGCCAGGCCTCTTATGCATATTAAACTCTTAGCTGGCTCCTTTTACAAATAAAGAGTCTGGCTCAAAATGAATAGATTATTTTAGTCCCATCATTTGTAAAAAATGGGAACTCACTTCTCTGTAACCCTAACCCATCCCTATCTTCTCCTTTGTTCTGCACTTCCAACAATAAAACTCAAAACAACAACAACAACATCAAAACAAAAAGCATACACATACAGGCAGAAGACACACCACTCACCCTTTCACTGTGCCTTGTCTTAGGGTAGGTATCTGTGTACCCTCTGTTTAGAAGGTCTGAATGGTATAGAATACTGAAAAGGGGGGAGTTGAGTAAAAAGCCCCCTCAAAATTTTGTCTTTTAAAAGGTCAAGTTTTTCCTGTGTGTGGTTATTAGTCATTTGTATTTGTTTTTTGATGAATTATTTGTTTATGTCTCCTGTCACTTTGGGGGGGGGGTTGGAGCTTTCTTATTTCTAGTGGCATAAATTATAAAGGCAGTAGATGTAGTCACCATGTAATGTATCAACTTTCCTTTTTTTCCTTTGCTTATTAAAACATAAATACGTTTGGGCTTGTTTAAGATTCGTAAGATTGAAAAGTGAGACTATGAAATACTATGTATTCTTCAAATTGTTATAAAATATTAGCAATGTGTAGCAAAATTCTGTCCAAATGAACACAAATAAATGTGTTGTAAGTACCATTAGTGTCTTGATTTCAGAGATGGTAAAACTGAAGCACTGACCTGGCCACATGTACCCACTAGCCTGCAAGCAAAGGTCCCAAGTTCCAGAGTATGGGTGCTGCACCAGTTGTCTAAGGAGTCATCTTTTGAATGGCATTTGGGTAGGCTTCGGGTTTGGTTTTTTTATTACCAACAATGATGTAAGCAACATAATAAACATGTTTTAATCCACTGATATTTTAATTAAGTCAATCATTCCCAGAAATGGGATTCCTACGTGAGAGAGCATACACATCTTAAATTTTAACAAATATTATTAGATTACATTCCTTAAAAGTCGCATTTATTAACATTCTAAGGCAGACTTAGATTTTCCATGTCATCACTGGATATTATCAATCTCTGAATTTCAAAAAACTGGTCATATATTGTTGTTTGTGATATAGATGACCTTAAAATTCTTTTTGTTTTATATGATTATTGGTTTATGGTGACTCCTTTTCTACAATTTGTCTACATGTTCTTGGCCATTCCTCGGTTGGGTTGTTTGTCTTCTTGTTAATAATTTGTAGCTGGGAGGTTCTTTGTACATTATTTGTGTTGAGTCTACGTCCTACAAGTCTGTCATTTTATTGTAACTTTTATTTATGGTATCTTCTATTATTTACCATATTTGCTAATTCTATCTTTTGCTCTTTTAATATTTTCATTTTTATGTGATCAGATATCTCCTCTTGCATGGCTGGCTTATGAATTTGCTTAAATATTTTGGTTCCAAAGCTGCCTGAGTGCTCTAATTTTTTCTAATATTTCATAAATCTATAGTGTACTTGGAATTAATTTTTGTCTGTAGTATATGGAAGGAATCGAATCATTTCTAATTAGTGTTCTTATCACAGAAGAATAAACATATCTTGTCATCAAAGAGGGGTGGTGGGTAGTGGTAGGATATGATTGCTAAAACATCATCCTATGTGTAAATCTTCATAAACTTTTCATGTATTTATTTTAGATGGTTTAGGGAAGAAACAGGTATACATAAAAAAAAAAGAAACAGGTATATATGTGTGTGCATAGGAGTAGAGGGTAATATAAATGTAGGGGGTACAACCACCAATCAACTTTTAGAGCAGTTGCTTTTTTTAATATCCATTTCTAATATTCAACTGCTATTGACTTCATTTTTCCAACTCAACTGTTAACAATGTCATAAGTAGCTTGAGCAATTGTATTGGCCTTTCCTCATCTTCAAAACCCCCTTGTGCATCACAGAGCACCTACTAACTAAGCTCTCCCTGAGGGCACCCGAGGGGCCCACGGGACGCAGTCATCTTGAAACCAGGAGAAGCTGATAGCTTCTTCCCAGGGTTTTCTTGCTTACAAACACCACTGAACTCGGCTGCTCGGCTGCGGACCCCCACACTCCCTGCCTGCAGCCCCTGCTCTTTGCCAGGGGAGGCGGCTGTATGGACCACCATGCAGTTGCCTCCCTTGTGGGGAGGGCAGTTGGAGTAAGTGCCCCTACTCCATTCCTCTGCTCCCATTGCTTTAAAAACTCACTATCATCGAGTTGATGCCAATTCACAGTGACCATGGGACATGGTAGAACTGCCGCTGTGAATTTCCGAGACTAACACCCTTTACAGGAGTAAATAGCCCTGTCTTCCAGGGAGCAGCTGGTGGATTTGAACTGCAGACTCTTTGGAGAGGTGCCCCACAAATAACCACTACACCAGCAGGCCTCCTTAGGAAGCATTAGAAGCATTGCATCCTGCACAACTTTCAAGACTAGAAAGATATTATTCTGGTGCTTGGGCAGGACAGGGGGCTGCAGAACCACAGTTTGCTTATGCTTGCTGGGATGGGCTCAGTATCCCCCCCACCCCTTTTATTCCGTGTAATCTTCATAAGAACCCTGGGAGGTAGGCATTTTCCCATTTCAGGGATCATGAAAATGAGGTGTAAGATCGCTAAGCACTCTAAAGCCACATGGTTAGTCATTGGGTGCTTAGTTAGCTAGCGAGTCCGCTCTAACGCCAAAGCTCAGCAGCTCCTTCCACTGAATGCTGCTGCCTCCTTTTCCATCTCATTCTGCGGACACGGCAGGCAGACAGGGGCTTGGCCAGGGCACGCTTGTGAGGCGGCTCAACCTTTTTTTTCTGCTCCCTTTACCTCTGGGGACTTCATTTCTTTAACTACCTGAGTCAGAAGGGGCTATTCATCTTGTCCTCTAAATGATTTCCCTTTGAACTTCTGCCTCCTCCGCCCCAAACATTTCCTCAGAAATGCCTTTCACTTCCTTGCTGGCGCCTGGAGTTCTTAATCGACAGAGGAAACCCAACTTCTGTTCATTTGTGTTCAATAAAATCTTCTACAATTCACACCGGGATGTGGTTTCTTTGTTCTTCTCGTAGCTTCTGCCACATTAGTAAATGAGAGGCCAGGGAGAGAGGCGGAATCCGGCAGAGGGGGAATGCGTGCAAATTCACAAGTTGATCGAACGAACCATATGCTGCTTATTAAAGAGCGGCATCAGCTGTTGCGTATGCAATGTGTTTGTGGGGCTGTTGCCTTTGAGACTCTGTGCCAGCAGCTTCCGAAGTTATGTCTTAAAACAAGCCCTGCTTGTTTCCCAACCATTCTCAGACCCACTGGGGGACGCACGAAGGAGCCTGGGCCTGGGCCTTGACCCCGCCTGAGCTCAGTCTCCTCTGCTCCATGGGAACCAGAGCTTGGCAAAGTCCCCTTGTCCTCCATTTGGGAATGAGAGGGCCTCTATCTTGCACAGGAAATATTGAAGCCGAAGCAGTACCTCTTAGTTGCAGGTCTGAACTTGCTCTCAATATTCGGGGCCCAGAAACATCCTGGACCTCTGAGAAGGAAGAACGCGGAAAGCTTTGGAGGAGGTTGGAGAGAACGGACAATGATTT